TCATTTTCCAAAACCGCTGGTCCAATGTGGCTACAGCGTAATATCATACAGGTATAATTCCTTTTTAATTGATTATTAAAAGTTTGTACATGCTAGTTACTCAAGATAAATATTTTCCTCTTACTAGCCCTTCCTGCGCACTCAGTGTCCGAAATCACTCACTTGTTTTCATTCACTCCTTCAAATGGACCGTATAAGTGGAGTAATGTAGGGAATAGTGAAGGAGGGTATAGGCGGCGATTTCGAACACAGCCCAAGTATTTTGGATTAAGCTCAAGGTAAGAACTGAAACTAAAAATTTAAAAATTATTTACTTTTTTTAGTAGTTTCCACACCAAACACCAATGAAAAACAGGTTCAGATATTTTTTATTATTATAAATATTTTCAATAAAAAAAGGGCAAAAATATACTGCTAATATACAAAAATCTGTTTGTTACTCATATTTCCTCATCTTTGGCAATTTAATATATTAAACTAAATATATTTATATTGTTCAAAAATGTTGCATGTACCCAAAATGTATTTAAAAATGTCAAATGTGTGTGTGCACATATGTATATATTACATATACACATACATACATATGGTATAATATATATATATATATACTCACCGGCCACTTTATTAGGTACACCTGTCCAACTGCTCGTTAACACTTAATTTCTAAGCAGCCAATCACATGGCGGCAACTCAGTGCATTTAGGCATGTAGACATGGTCAAGACAATCTCCTGCAGTTCAAACCGAGCATCAGTATGGGGAAGAAAGTTGATTTGAGTGACTTTGAACGTGGCATGATTGTTGGTGCCAGAAGGGCTGGTCTGAGTATTTCAGAAACTGCTAATCTACTGGGATTTTCACGCACAACCATCTCTAGGGTTTACAGAGAATGGTCCGAAAAAGAAAAAACATCCAGTGAGCGGCAGTTCTGTGGGCGGAAATGCCTTGTTGATGCCAGAGGTCAGAGGAGAATGGCCAGACTGGTTCGAGCTGATAGAAGGGCAACAGTGACTGAAATAACCACTCGTTACAACCGAGGTATGCAGCAAAGCATTTGTGAAGCCACAACACGCACAACCTTGAGGCGGATGGGCTACAACAGCAGAAGACTCCACCGGATACCACTCATCTCCACTACAAATAGGAAAAAGAGGCTACAATTTGCAAGAGCTCACCAAAATTGAACAGTTGAAGACTGGAAAAATGTTGCCTGGTCTGATGAGTCTCGATTTCTGTTGAGACATTCAGATGTTAGAGTCAGAATTTGGAGTAAACAGAATGAGAACATGGAACCATCATGCCTTGTTACCACTGTGCAGGCTGGTGGTGGTGGTGTAATGGTGTGGGGGATGTTTTCCTGGCACACTTTAGGCCCCTTAGTGCCAATTGGGCATCGTTTAAATGCCACGGCCTACCTGAGCATTGTTTCTGACCATGTCCATCCCTTTATGGCCACCATGTACCCATCCTCTGATGGCTACTTCCACCATGTCACAAAGCTCTAATCATTTCAAATTGGTTTCTTGAACATGACAATGAGTTCACTGTACTAAAATGGCCTCCACAGTCACCAGATCTCAACCCAATAGAGCATCTTTGGGATGTGGTGGAACGGGAGATTCGCATCATGGATGTGCAGCTGACAAATCTGCGGCAACTGTGTGATGCCATCATGTCAATATGGACCAAACTCCCTGAGGAATGCTTCCAGCACCTTGTTGAATCTATGCCACGAAGAATTGAGGCAGTTCTGAAGGCAAAAGGGGGTCCAACCCGTTACTAGCATGGGGTACCTAATAAAGTGGCCGGTGAGTGTATATATATATATATGTAGGGAAGCAAATATTTGAAATATTTAAATATATATATATATATATATATAATTTATTTCTGGCCAAAAATATTTCAAATATATGCCACCCTACATTTCGGAAATTTCTAGCCAATCAGAAACATCAGAGTTGAGTAGAATTAGGAAAACATTTCCATTTCCACCTTTTCAAGCCTGAAAAATCAGAAGATTAAAACCTCCAGGTTTTCATGCTAATTTCAATCTAAAGGCAGGGAATGTAAAAACTCACAGTGCACCGTCACTGTTGCAGACTCCCAACCTCTGTTTCTTTCTTTATTCCTGCCCCCCCTCCAAACTATCGTTTCACGCGGGCCCTCGGGGGGGCCTCTGTCATGGAAAACCACCCCGGGCCCCCACTGAAACTTTCATAAGAGGCACAATAGACATGTGAAATATTCATGTGTTGAATGCGTAATGGAAACAGATTGACCTCCATCAGAGAGAAGCTGATAACAAACCAATCAATACTGATACCAAAGCCATAATGATCAGTAGTGATCAGTGCCAACCAAGCATCATTATTATAACAGCTCATGCTTAAACGCACAGTTCACCCCAAAATATAATTTTGCCATCATTTACCATTCCAAACATAACTTTGAACAACAGTAAATTATGTCAATGATGACCAATGATAACAATCTTTTTCTTTTTTTTAAAATCGATTGTTGACTGATATTGATATTAATACAGATATATCATGTATCACATCTTAAGATGAATCACATAAAGAAATTCCCTGGCCATATTTCACTTCAACTGATAGTGTTAATAGGCTTATTTTTCTTTATGCAAAATGTTTTATTTTTCTTTGAAATATGAACTAGGCATTTCTCAACAGTTTTTTAGAGGTTCACATACAGGTGAAACTCGAAAAATGAGAATATCGTGCAAAAATTCATTTATTTCAGTAATTCAACTTAAAAATATTGAAATATCTCACTTTGCATGAGTCTATATAATATCTTAGTTTCACCTTTTAAGTTGAATTACTGAAATAAATGAACTTTTGCACGATATTCTCATTTTTCGAGTTTCACCTGTACACTTGTTTTGAAAAATTCTGCCCAAATGTGACCGGATATGACCTTAAAGGAGTAGTTCACTTTTAAAAAAACTTTTGCTGATAATTTACTCACCCCCATGTCATCCAAGATGTCCATGTCTTTCTTTCTTCAGTCGAAAAGAAATTAAGGTTTTTGATGAAAACATTCCAGAATTTTTCTCCACACAATGCACTTTGCTGGGCACCAAACTGTCCAAGGTCCAAAAGACAGTTTCACTGCAAACTGTTCAAATGGCTTTAAACGATTCCAGACGATGAATAAGGGTCTTATCAAGCGAAACGATCGGTCATTTAAAAAATAAATAACAAAGTTTAAGTTTTATAAGCTCAAATGCTCGCCTCGCTCTGTTCTGTGTAACTCTCCTGTTCGAACTCGTTCATCAAAATGAACGAATCTTTTTCCGAGTCAATTCGTTCATTTCGTTCGTTAAATGAATCAAATGACTCGAAAAAAGATTCGTTCATTTTGATGAACGAGTTCGAACAGGAGAGTTACACAGAACAGAGCGAGGCGAGCATTTGAGCTTATAAAACTTAAACTTTGTTATTTATTTTTTAAATGACCGATCGTTTCGCTTGATAAGACCCTTATTCATCGTCTGGAATCGTTTAACCCTCTGGGCTTCTTTGTTTAGGGGTTACACTTGGCTTCCTTTCGGTCAAAAAAGACCGAAGCCTTAAAATGTAACTTTTTTTTCCCCCAGGAAAACCATTAAAATATATTTTTGTTCAATAATATTTTCTTATTATTATTAAGAATTTTTAAAGATTTTTATGATACTTTGCATTATTTATATAATTTTTACGAGCTATTTTTTTCCATTAGAATTTGTTTTATTTTTTTATTATTATAATAAAAAAAAAAATTTCCCAAAAAACTCAACGTGGCACATTAAAATATAATGCTGGCAGCAGGCAAAAAAAAATTCAAGTGAGAATACCGCCATCCAGTGGCTTTAAAAATGTTTTAAAGTGTGTAATGTCCGTAACCGCCTGTAGGCTGCCCATAGCTTCCTATGTAAATAGATAGAAATGCTTTTTGATTCCTATTGCTGTTTTAGACATGATTTCTCTTTCTTATTCGTTTTTTTTTATTTAGATATATATTTAGATATGCTAAAAGACTACTTTTTTTATTTTTTTATTTTTTGTTTAGATAAGTAAAAATGTATAAATGTGTGTAATGTCCGTAACCGCCTGTAGGCTTCCTATATAAATACATAGAAAGGCTTTTTGATTCATATTGTTGTTTTAGACATGATGAGGTGTGTGTGTGTGCATTTGAGCAAGAAAGAGTAGCCTATCTTTTGTACTTTATTTTAAATTTTGATTTTATTTAGCATTTTCTCAACATTTGCTGTTATAGTCTTTCCTATTCATTTCTCTGTGTGTGTTTGTGTGCGTGGGTGTGTGTGTGTGGGGGGGGGAGGTGTCTTATTTGCACTCTTGATGTTTTAGAGTGTCACCCCTTCATTGCTGTACACTTTTTTTCTGCACAGTGGCTGATCTGTAGTTTGTACCACCAAAAGTTTCTCTGAGTTTTCCTATTTTTTCGTATTTCCCATTCATTTCCTATGTCGGTAATTTTTGACCGAAAGGAAGCTAAGTGTGACTATTTTTTTTAAGACCCTTTAACATATCCGAATCATCTCCTTGCTTTTTTTGTGTGTTCACATAGGTAATACAACAAAAGTCACCAAGTTTCATCCCCCTCCGATGAAGCAAAAAAATTAAACATTTCAAAACGTATACTGTTTCGGTCATTTTTGACCGAAGAAGCCCAGAGGGTTAAAGCCCTTTGAACAGTTTGCAGTTTGCACTGAAACTGTCATTTGGACCTTGGACCGTTTGGTGCCCAGTAAAGTGCATTATATGGAGAAAAATCCTGGAATGTTTTCATCAAAAACCTTAATTTCTTTTCGACTGAAGAAAGAAAGACATGGACATCTTGGATGACATGGGGGTGAGTAAATTATCAGCAAGTTTTTTTTAAAGTGAACTACTCCTTTAAACAGACTGGAACACGACAGCTAATAAAGCACAGATGCATCTGAACTAGTGTGGAGGATTGCAGACTCACCCAGGACTCGTGGTAAAGCACGGTGAGGAGGTACATGGCGTAATCATAATTCTGCGCTCTCAGCGGGCAACTAAAAACATGCATGAAGAAGATGCATTTGAAAGATAATCTGTGATTGGGAAATGAGGAAAATACAACACACAATACATTTCCACATCACCAACCTGTCTGCGGTGATGGTGAGCGTGTCGGTGTCTTCACAGTAACGCTCATCGCTGAGTTTGATCATCTTCTTTCTGGCGTGATCATCCAGATTTAGGCTGGAGAGCTTCACCTATTTAAAAACAGTGTTTGATTAGCTTAAGATGCGTTATAATTGAGAATACATGAGGGATAATGTACAGTCAGATGGTCGTAATCTCAAAATAAACCCTGATTTGAAAAGGATCCGCTACATTAATGGATGTTAAATACTTAATTAGTACATTATGTGAGAAGAAATAGCGCACAGTTTTGAGGGAGATATGAATCTAGCACAGTTATGTAGGAAAGTTTCATCCAAGTTCATCGAAGGACGACGTCCACGAATCACTTAATCCAAATCTTCAGCATTTCTCCAGCAATCATTTTCACTTGGCCTTCCTCCAGTCAGCCGAACTAAACTAAATCTACTAAATCTTATTGTTCCAAACAACAAAAAACTATTTTGCACAACTCTGCCCTTTAAATCCCGCTCCGGATCGGCCAATGGGATCAAACACGACACGACACACAGTGATGTCACTAAGCTCTCTCTAGCTAACGCACAATAGCGCACAATGCAATATCACTGTTTATCTGGGGTTTCCTGGTGTTTCAGTCAAACAAGGACAGGGGGGGGGAGCCCTTCTCCCTTCTCCCACCCGGACACTCATCCCGTATATCTGCCCTTTGATCCCCCTCACTTCTAGCTCTAATCCAACAGGATTAACGTCAGATGGCGATTCCAGCACTGCAGTCATAATCTAATGGTTTTCCAGGCAGATGGTGAGAGATTTGATATAAATAACATTTCAGATTATAAATAGGAAAATATATCAAAATCAATGAGGTTTTGCTGAGCTCACCAACATGGTGTTTCATGAACGGGTAAATGTGTTTGCTGATATAACAGTCCCAGTGTTGTTTACTCAAGCAAAAACGAGTTATTACTCATTTAATTCTCCCGTGCCTTTCAGAACGTGCTACTGAACGTGTAAATACTGAGCGCATAATCATAACTAATCCTGCTAAGAGGAGACATACTGTATGGACAGAAAAACAGTTCATCATCATAATGCTTAATTAAAGGTAGTCTTGTGTAGACAGACTTTTGATTATCAGTAAACAAACATCTGACAGCCACAGTTTACTTGTTTTGACATGTCATTTACATGCAGTTTATTCTAAATGGGCACCTTGGGAAGAACAGAAAACACCTACAAAATTAAAGAAAAGGTGTAGAATATCATATAAACATTAGTTCACAGAAAGAAAACATACATCTCAACTCTCTTGCTTCTAACAAAATACTCACGTTTGAAGCCATTACACCTGGCAAATCCAAGAGTTCGTAATAACACTGTTATGGAAGTAAAAACGCATCCATTTTCTCAGAGGAAAATTATTTATTACGATAACTTATAAATCTTTGAAGACAACCTTACTGTGAGCTACGAGATTGTTAAATAATGGCATTTTCTTCTGCTGAAGCCGTCAGCCCGCTTTATTTCAAAATAAGCGTGTTTAACAGTGGATTCCGTGGTGAAAAACTCCATTACCCATGATGCAGTACAGAAAATTCCACCAATCAGACAAGCACTGTGAATGACATAATCAAGTCGCTTTCAAAATACTTAAATGTTTGTATATATGCATATTTTGCATTAAAATTAAAATGTACTGTATCAACATTTTTAAATGAGTAGTTTAATTTGATTATGCTGTTCCCAGTGCTTCATGGGATTGTAGTTCTTTCCCTCACTAAATCCGTTAAGTACACACAGTCTTGTACCTTTTGTCTGATTTTCAATTTTTTTTTTTTTGCTTTAAATCAAAGTTTGTGATGTTATACTTCTCCGTGCAGCTGACTGTCTTGGTTTATGGATTATAACCCTTTAACAAATACTTTTTGAAATACTTATGGGAAAAAATAATAAAACATTTTTTTTTTTTTTTTACTTTCGGAACCAGCACCGGTGAAAAAGTTTCAATCAAACAAGCCATATTCTTCATGATTTGGAAGATATTCATCAAGATCTAGAATTTAATAAAAATTGACCTTCAGTGTCACTATCCGTGCGTCTGGGTTTCGCAGCGACAGTCCAGCGGACACAAACTCCTTATTCTGCACCCGGATCGGGAAGTGCTCCATGCATTTCTCATCAGAGTCCAGGGCAGACGGCCACTCCGTACAGAACGCTGGACAAATTCAACAGGGAAAACATTTACAAACCTTTCTTTCATTTATCCACAGCATGACATGTGCTCATCAACTGCGGTCCAATGTTTATCACTGCAACAATCGAATTAATAACACAAACAACTCACGCTTCAGGGCCTCACAGTGCTTCTTAATGGCAACCGGGGTTAAGTGTAAAAAGTTTGGAATCTGAAAGACATTAGAGCATGTGATTAAAAGAGTGCTGTATCACAAGTGTTCAAAGGAAAATCGACATCCTCACCCTTTATTTAAAGGTTTTATTTGTGATAGCGCAATGAAACGTGCCAAACAGAATTTTTGACTGTCATACACAGAGATTATGAATGAACACATGTAAAAACAAGAGAGAACCAATAAAAAAAAATAAAAACTGAGTATGTTGTCGTCAATGTATGTATTTTTTCTTGTGAACTTTGTTTTTTTTCTAAGCATTTTTTTTTGCAAAGTAAAACAAAACCAATTTTGTCAGATAAATATGAACCAAGTTTAATGTTTTGTTCTTCCCTCATATTTAAAATATGTAAAAAATATTTCCCCCATATTTTGATGGTTTAATTGAATTCGTAGGGTCATAAAAAAAACTCCGGACATAACTTTTGACCAGTACAGACAATAAAAAAAAAAAATCTGAAAAGTTATTGCAGCTACAGTTTGCATCAGTTCACAATAAGGTTTAGAAAATTTCTTATAATTTCCTGTTTAAGACAGGTTTTCATGATGCAGCTCAGCAATGCTTATACATGACAAAAAAGCACTTCTACGTTCTGAAAATTTCTGCTCAGAAAGCTTGGTTGAATCAGATTCAGATTGTTTTATTTAGTGCCATGTCAGCATCCAAGGCTATTTTCATGGCAAAAATTCAATTACAAAAATACAAATATCATAATACAATAAAAAGCAAACAAACAAAAACAGCAAGTCATATTATACGAGATTTTTTTTAAATTAACATATGATAAACATATTTTCAGGCATAATCTTACTAAATAAGTCCTTAAGTGAGGTCTTGGTGGAATCAAGACGTTTTAGGTCTTCTTATAAACTGTGCTGTGCATATACACTCACCGGCCACTTTATTAGGTACCCCATGCTAGTAACGGGTTGGACCCCCTTTTGCCTTCAGAACTGCCTCAATTCTTCGTGGCATAGATTCAACAAGGTGCTGGAAGCATTCCTCAGGGAGTTTGGTCCATATTGACATGATGGCATCACACAGTTGCCGCAGATTTGTCGGCTGCACATCCATGATGCGAATCTCCCGTTCCACCACATCCCAAAGATGCTCTATTGGGTTGAGATCTGGTGACTGTGGAGGCCATTTTAGTACAGTGAACTCATTGTCATGTTCAAGAAACCAATTTGAAATGATTAGAGCTTTGTGACATGGTGGAAGTAGCCATCAGAGGATGGGTACATGGTGGCCATAAAGGGATGGACATGGTCAGAAACAATGCTCAGGTAGGCCGTGGCATTTAAACGATGCCCAATTGGCACTAAGGGGCCTAAAGTGTGCCAGGAAAACATCCCCCACACCATTACACCACCACCACCAGCCTGCACAATGGTAACAAGGCATGATGGTTCCATGTTCTCATTCTGTTTACGCCAAATTCTGACTCTAACATCTGAATGTCTCAACAGAAATCGAGACTCATCAGACCAGGCAACATTTTTCCAGTCTTCAACTGTTCAATTTTGGTGAGCTCTTGCAAATTGTAGCCTCTTTTTCCTATTTGTAGTGGAGATGAGTGGTACCCGGTGGAGTCTTCTGCTGTTGTAGCCCATCCGCCTCAAGGTTGTGTGTGTTGTGGCTTCACAAATGCTTTGCTGCATACCTCGGTTGTAACGAGTGGTTATTTCAGTCACTGTTGCCCTTCTATCAGCTCGAACCAGTCTGGCCATTCTCCTCTGACCTCTGGCATCAACAAGGCATTTCCGCCCACAGAACTGCCGCTCACTGGATGTTTTTTCTTTTTCGGACCATTCTCTGTAAACCCTAGAGATGGTTGTGCGTGAAAATCCCAGTAGATTAGCAGTTTCTGAAATACTCAGACCAGCCCTTCTGGCACCAACAATCATGCCACGTTCAAAGTCACTCAAATCAACTTTCTTCCCCATACTGATGCTCGGTTTGAACTGCAGGAGATTGTCTTGACCATGTCTACATGCCTAAATGCACTGAGTTGCCACCATGTGATTGGCTGCTTAGAAATTAAGTGTTAACAAGCAGTTGGACAGGTGTACCTAATAAAGTGGCCGGTGAGTGTATATCAAAATGCATACATTAATAAATGAATATGGTATACTGCACGTCTGCTTGTGTATGTGTTTATTTTCAAAACTTGATCACCTTTATCAGTTCCAGGTTGCCCTTCTTGGCAGGCGGTACGCCTCTCTTCACGGGATATCCCATCCGCACCGGCAGGGGAACGGCGGACGCTTTGAATGAGGCGGCAGTGGGGTAAACCACGGTCCAGTCCTGATCCTCGGCCATCCTCTCCGTCCTGGGCTCTCCAGCCTGTGTTTCATTATCAATAACATTATTCATCTGCTTTGCTGAATCATAGACCAGAACGCAAACACACTGTATTACGGTTGTGTCGAGGCAAAGTGTAATAGTCCACCTGTCTCTTTGACCTCCACTGACCCCGACCACCTCTGCCTGCAGCTTCTGTAATCACACATTCAATGAGGGGTGAAACTCAGTGTACATTCAAACATTAACCTCATTCAAAAATACAGCAAGCAATACTGCTGTAGATGACGTAATACTAGGTTATAAAAAAACATTTACTTAGATACAACATGTCAGAACAATAATTAAGCAAACGCAATTGTGATGGTACAAAGACAGTGTCAAATGATAATACCACAGTGCTTTAATGTATACTAGGTGCTGAATATATATATATATATATATACACATACATACATATGATACACAAACACACATATATTTATTTACTATTTACACACACACACTCACATACATTACACATACATACATACATTAACATCAATATTATTCACACACAAACATATGTATATATATAGGTGAACACTAACATCAATATTATTGTAACTCTCCTTAATACAGTAAATAGATTAAATAACAGGATCATGCTATCTTTACCTCTTTCTGTGGCCACGGCGCTTGTTGAGAGGACAGAGGAGATTGAAATCCCCCTGCTTAATGAAATTAAACTATATATTCCATTAATATTACAGTTTATTTTGCATAAGGAGGACAGCGCAGGGTGAGTGATGGACGCAGCCATGATGGGAAAACCTGCGGTGTGACTACGGCGGCTCGGAGGAACGCAAACAAAAAGCGAAGCTAAAATGATCTGAGAGACAAACATGAGAGTGTTTTTGTGCACATTGATATTCAATCAGTTTCGAAACAAACAAAAAAACTATCTGCTTTTAATTCAGAACCAGGTTTAAGTGTAACTTTGAGGGAAACTAATAGGAAAGACAAAAGAGCTAGTAACACTGAAACATAAAATAAAACGCATTCTTTTCGTTTAAAACAACTAGACGGAGACTTGAAGCGTTAACTGACTCGATTTGTAAAACTATTTTTAAACTGAATCGAACTTGGCGAATGGCGTCCCCCACCACGTTCAGAAACGTAGGTAGGTTTCTATATATTTATTATAAAATATTTCAAAAGTGTCATCTATGATCTACTGCTTGACAGAAGCCGATGACGCGCGCGGCCGTCAGGTGTGCGCGCTCTCTCATCATGCATATCTCCACATGTGTTTCACTCACAGCATCACAGACTGATAAAAACAACTGAAGCACATTTATCTCCTCGTCATCTCCGCGATTAATGCGTCACTTCAGATGATGACGAAGACGAGAGACATCAGGAGCCCTGCTTGAGGAGGTATTGTTGATATAAAAGTTCATTTCCTTTATTTTAGCCTTTAAAGTTATGTTGACAAATTGACATGATTTCTTTTAAGCCAGATGTGTGTATGATTTATGATATTTCACAGTTAAAACACGTGTGGGTTGTGTAGTGTCTATAGATAAAAATGCTAAATATCCCATCCCAAGACGATGTGCATATTGTGAATTAAATAGGCCACGAATAAAAAAAAAAGTAATATTAGAAAATAAATAAAGGTATTTCTGTTTTAAAATGAACATGAAGAAACACAATTTCTGAGTACAAAATATGCATAGAAATGTATGATATTCCTAGCTTTGTCATTTTTACACTATAATCAATATTTTTTGCGTATTGTAACTGCATATATATATATATATATATATATATATATATATATATATACACAAATAGTAGTGCTGTCAAATCGATTAATTGCGAATAAAAGTTTGTAAATATGTGTGCGTATATATATGCATGCATGCATGCAAAATAATCTATAGATATAGTGTGTGTGTGTATATATATATATAGGCTATATATATATATATATATATATATATATATATATATATATATATATATATATATCAATTGATTGCGATTAATCACATAAAAGTTTGTAAATATGTGTATATGTGTGTTAGATGCAATTAAACGATTTGACAGAATATATATATATATGATCGTATAAATTTGGCTACTTAAATTACAAGAAATTTGTAAGAAATGATTATAAGAAGTAATTTGACAGGTTTCATTAATTTGTTGCATTTGTGTTTGCTGCAGAAATGAATGAGTGTGAGTGTGTTTATCTCTCTGTCCAGTAAATCCTCTCCACACGCTCTGACTGTGAGTGTTTTCTGTCTCTTGACATCGTGAGCTTAAAGCGGTCATCTGAAACTACAGCTGACGGCGCAGGGTTCACGGGTGCCGTCAGCGACTGACAGACATGCACAGAGGATGGCAGGGTCCTGTTTCGATTTGTCTCCACTCACAAAGCTTTTTCCAGTGGCTTTGTGTGTCCATCCGCTGGCCATCATCTCGTGATAGAGATCTCATGAGAGTCTGACCTCATTATGAGGGTGTTTTACTGCTCTTCCTCGCTGCTCCGTGAGGAAGACGTCAGTCAAATCACAGTCAGGCTGAAGTCATGACACTCATTCAGCACATTCACTCTGTCTGAGGAAAAACTAGCGTGACTCTTCATTTTGCGAGATGATGGTTCTAGAAAAAACGGTGGGTTCTTGCATTGAATATTTTATTCAGTACTTTCAGGTACTTGATGATTCTGGATGTGTCTGGTGATCTTCAGCTCATCCTCATGCGATATTAACCCGTCTGAGATCGTCTAAGCTGCTCCTAATTTAAACCCGCAGACCTGGAGTGACACATGTGACTTCCCAACAACTGGTGCTCAATCAAACGCAACCAAATACACAAGATCACCAAACAACGAAGACTGTAAACAATCTTAAAATGTGAAAACCGATGTGTTAAATTCAACCTGGGACATTTCCAAGCTTTTAATGTTGTTTATATGTCTATGTGGTGTTTTTAATATGCTTTAAGACAAACCATGTGTAAATTCATAAGTCGACAGCATTGCTGAGTATTTGCTCCTTAAAGGGGTCATCGGATGCAAAATTCACTTTTATATGGTGTTTGCATATAAATGTGTCTTTGCAGTGTGTGGACAGGACACAACCACCATACAATGAAAAAAATCCATTCACTCCTTTTTTTTTAATCCTCAAAAAGTCTAAACAATCTCAATAATCAGGCCGTTTGGATTTTCTGAGCACTATGATGCCATAATGCTCATGCTCCGCCCACGACCGCTGACGGGCTGTCCCGTATTAGCATATTTCTGCCCTCAGAGGGGGGAGGGGAGGGCAGTTGCTCATTATCATTTAAAGAGACATGCACTGAAACAGGTCACTGTGAACAAAGCTGTTTTTGAGCAGGTAAAGGGTGTTGTTTTACACAACCATTGAGGAATTTTAACCAAAGTATATTACAAACTTTACATGAACACCCTAAAGAATCACACCAACTTGTGGAAAATGTGCATCCGATGACCCCTTTAAAACTGCAGTGAATCAAAGACAGTCTCAAAAACACGGTTTGAATCGCTGGTGTTTCTGACGTCACAAACGACCTTGTAACCAATCAGATCAACGTGTGATCGTCAACCAGTGGATCTCTGAGCTGAGTGAGTGAGTGGAGGCGGGGCTCATTTGCATATTCATAGAACCACGTATACTAAACGAGGCAAGGGTGTCGAGTTACATTCAAACCGTTTTATTATTATATATAAAAAGGAAAAACTTTTAAAAATGTAATTTTGATTGATGAGTTTTGATGAGACTACAGGGGGACTTTAATGCTTTCTCCATTTGTTCTCCCTTCACAGGTTTGGAAACATGGCAGATATAGATCGCATTGGCTTACTGTGACAGATTCATCACTTCTGAGAAGTTCTACCCAAAGGAACCCACTGGAACACCATCCCACGGGACGCATCCCCACCATGGGGGAGAGACTGGGCCGCACAACCCCTCTTTTGTCCCGTGGCCGTACGTTCGGATGGTCCACCTCCAGCAACAGCATCAAGCTGAAGACCTTCGGCCACAACGGCCACGAGTTCCCGGTGCCGAGCCCGACCCACAGCCTGGAGGAGGCAGCAGCGTCCAGCGCGTCCCGCTCTCCTGTTTCACTGGAACCGGAGCCCGCGGTGAATAATGGATCAAGCGCATCCGGCGCTCCGGGTGGCTTCACAAAGGATCCACCGGCGCACAGCGAGCGCTTCCAGCCCGTCTCCATCTCCAGCGTCCCCAACGCCCGCTACACGCGCAGCCCCTACCACACCAAGACTAGCATGCAGGGCGATGTGTACAACTTCCTAGAGAGACCCGCCGGCCTGAGGTGCTTCATGTATCACTTCCTCGTGTGAGTACAGCACACCTGAACACCTGAACGTAGCATTTGTACATATGAAGCTTAATAGGGCTGTGAAACGATTAATCGCGATTAATTGCATCCAAAATAAAAGTTTGTGTTTACATAATATATGTGTGTGTACTGTGTATAATTATTTTGTACTGTATATATAAATACATACACATGCATAAAAAAATATTTGTATGTATATACTGTATATGTAATTTGAATTATATATAAATATTTTATATATAAATGACGCATTTTTCTGAAATATTTACATGCATGTGTGTGTATTTACAGTATATACAAAATATTTATACACAGTACACACACATATATTATGTAAACACAAACTTTTATTTTGGATGTGATTAATCTCGATTAATCATTTCACAGCCCTAGTTTTTAATCATACTTTTATCATACTAACTCAGTCATTTTAGGAAGTCGACGTCCCATGTTGTGATGTGCATTTTGCTAGTGAGCATTTGTAGATATGAAACATTTGATTGGTTAATAGGGGTTTTAATGAGTTTAACTCTGCTTGCGTGTCGTTCAAAAATTAAATTTTTTTCAGTTAAATGAATGTACTATATTTTTGTTTGATAAAATTTTTTATGTAATGTTTTGAATTTGTAGTGGATTTTATGGTGCTAAATTATATTTATGGAAATAGTTGTGATCCATTTCTCACCTGTTAAACACTTTTTGAGCGTGGACCTGAAAATGAAGTTTCCGTAAATCTTAAATCTTATATGCTTTGGAGCACTGACTTAAGTTTGGTCTCTTTTTAAAGAAGATTATTGCTGAAAAAAAGTGAAACTTAAATTTTTTTTATAGAAGTTTAGGTTTATTATTATGAAAAATGCAGAAAAATACATTTTGTTTTTACATTTTATATGAAATATATATTTTCAAAACGTAAAGCCATAAATCTAAATGAGCTGTGTTCCAAATTTGAGGTTGATATCTCAAAATATTAGCTTTCAGCAAGATTTTGTTTGTGCGCAGTACCAAACGCTTCCACTGGATGAAATTCGCTTTCATGTCGTTCCGAACCTGTCAGACTTTCGTTCATCTTCAGAACACAAATGAAAATCTTTTTGATGAAATCTGAGAGCTTTCTGTTCCTATGGAAGCTTGTTTCCGCCACAGAATGAAAAATAAAAAAGGTAATTGCGACTTTTTCTCACACAATTCTGACTCTTTTTTTTCTCACAATTGCGAGTTTACATCTTGCAATTCTGACATCTTTTCTCAGAATTGCGAGATATAAACTCAGAATTGCGAGATATAAAGTCGCAATTATGAGAAATAAAGTCGCAATTGCGAGAAAAAAAGACAGAATTGAGACTTATCTCACAATTCTGACTTTATAACACATAATTGCGAGTTTATATCTCGAAATTCTGACATCTTTTCTCAGAATTGCGAGATATAAAGTCGCAATTGCGTGTTATAAAGTCAGAATTGCGAGATATAAAGTCAGAATTAATTGATATAAAGTCGCAATTGCGTGTTATACAGTCAGAATTGTGAGATATAAACTATTGAGGGGAAAAAGTCAGTCTTTTTTTCCCTTAGAATTGGCCTGATAACTCGCAATTGCGACTTTATATCTCACAATTCTGAGAAAAGATGTCAGAATCTCGAGATATAAACTCGCAATAATGTGTTATAAAGTCAGAATTGTGAGATAAGTCTCAATTCTGTCTTTTTTTCTCGCAATTGCGACTTTATTTCTCATAATTGCGACTTTATTTCTCATAATTGCTACTTTATATCTCGCAATTGCGAGTTATATATTAAATATAATTTTTTTTTTACATTTTTTTAAAAAAAATTCTATTCAGTGGCGGAAACAAGCTTCCATATGTTCCTCCATTGACAGCTACAACTACCACTTTGACGCTCCAAAAAGTTCATAAAGAGATCGTAAAACGAATCCATATGAATTGAGCGGTTTAGTCCACATTTTCTAAAGAGACTCGATCGCTTTATACGATGAACAGATTGAATTTAGGCTTTTAGACACATAATGGAAATCTTCTGAATGGATGTGCAACAAATTCCGATCTCTGCCAAATGCGAGTAAAAAATCTGTGTGGTCAAATTGTTTTGTGCCAGTGTAAACACAGCCTTAGGGGAGTGATCTGAACAAACTCCTAAAGTGTTCTGGATGCTGAGCCGTGTGTTAATCACAGCTGAGGCCGAGTGGATCTCAGCAACTAAAGGAGAGTCCTCTCCGTGTCCCCGGATGCCTGGTCAACAGTCAACCTGATCCTGAAGTCTCCGTGATGCAAACTCAGACACCAGACTCGTCTCACCTTTACCTCCATAGAGAAAGCATCACTTTTTATTGGCCTCAAAGTGATTTAAAGACAGCGTGTACGAGCGAGAAAATGGCTGATTTTAGTGTTAAATAACCATGAAATGTGAACTAGTTTAGCTAATGAGCACATTAGGACGTGACAGCAGTGTTGAAACTAATACAATTAATTTTATTATGATTATCATTTACTCGCCCTCATGATATTATGGCAGATTTTCAGTTAATAACGACTTGGGATTCAGTCTATGCCTACACAAATCTATCATGATTTCAGAAGAATGGGAAGATCACACACAGTCATATAGACTTTCATTATGATATTTTTATGGTGCTTTTTTAGTGCAAAACTCCCTATGCTAGGACAAAGTGTGGTTGCTTGCCTTAGACGTTGATGTGTGTTTCTTTGCTTTATTTAGAGCCTCAGTACCAGTGTTATTTAATTTGAGATTTATTTCTATACTAGTATAGTTTTCATTAATATTTTGAATAAACTTTCTCAATATTGTTTTTATTACTTTTATAAGAACAACAAAAGTTAACATACACAAACAGCAATATCCCCCACCCACCCATTTTGAATGAACTTTTTTCACATTTTAATTTGTTTAATTTTATTATAAATTTTATTTATTACATTTTATATATTTTTATTAAAGTAATTTGTCATTTTTATAATTATTTTTTAAATATTACTATTTAGGTTTCATTTAGAGATGCACCGATACTAAATTTCTCAGCCGATACTGATTGCCGATTATTCAGAATAAAATATACCTCTTAAGGACAAAAATCTCTCCCAAATAAACTCTACAGGGAAAGGAACCCGCTCATTTGGTACATTACTATAATGTTAGATAGATGCCGATAGTGGAAATAATTGCTTTTATCTGCCGATACCGATTATTGGCCGATACATCGGTGCATCTCAAGTTTCATTTATATTTCACTTTTTATTTATTTCTGGTTAGTAATCTTTAGTTGACAAAACGTTATGTTTGGTTCACGTTTTTTCAATAATAATTGGTTTTATTTCAGCTTTATTTCAGTTAACAAAAAGAGTTTTAGTTTAGCTTACAATAATAAAGGCCCGTTCACACCAAGGAACGGTAATTATAATGATAACGATAAATGTACATTTTTAAATATTGTTCTAAAAATATAAAAGAATAGCAGATAGAGTCCTCATCACAACTCTGCAGCGTGCACTTATAATAAACTGAACATTATCGTCCTCTGTAGTTATCGTTAGGGATGGACAATATATCGGCCACCGTATCAGTATCGTCCGATATATGTTCATTTTTAATGATCGGCCTGATAAGAAAATTTGTCTGATATATTAAAGCCGATATATAATGGATAATTTCCTTCAGCTGAGACACTTCAGATATGCACTGAACATGATGGTTTTGAATTGCTTGAATTATAATTGGAATCACTTTGAAATGGATATAAGCTACATAAAATTATAATGAGAACATTATAATTGTGTGCTTGGGTCATCGTGACTTCTGTTTTTATAATCAGGCTCTCAAAAATTATATAAACATTTGATTTAGAGTTATTGGCCAATATATCGGTTATCAGCTTTCAAATATGAAAAGTTATCGGTTATCGGTATCGGCCAAAATTTGCATATCGTTGCATCCCTAGTTATCGTTACAGTTATCGTCATTGGTGTGAATGGGCCTTTACTCTGCTTAGAGTCGGTCTCCGTCCAGTTTCATATAGTAAAGAGCAGCATGAACATCTGGCGGAATATCTCTTTTTTTGTGTTCAGAAACTCAAGAATGAAAGTCACTGGACTGACATGACACTGATTAAATAATGACATTTTTTTATTTTTAGGCGAATATCCCTTTAAGGACTTTTTGTGTCTGATCTGCTTTTTCAATGAATGAATTTCAAACTAAGGAGAATAGTGAATGTTCAGATGTGGCGCGTTTGGCACGTATTAGTATTTTCCTTGAGCTTATCGCACAAGCATGTCATGACACAGCGAGGGAAAGTCTCTGGCGGCTTGCCTTCCTTTAGTGCTGTTTGCTTTGGTGGTCTGATAACCTCTCTCTCTCTCTCTCTCTCTCTCTCTCTCTCTCTCTCTCTCTCTCTCTCTCTCTCTATCTCTCTGTGTAACTGAGTATCTAGAGTGTCAGTCGCAGTGGTGAACCTGATATTCTGTGCCGCTCCTTTAACTAACTCTTACTTGCCGATGGTTATCGATGCCAGGTTGTTCTCTGGCCGAAGTGGACACAGAAAGATGTGAGCGCATCCGTTCTGACAGACTAATGGCCCGTCTGGGTCTTCAGGTGGCCATGGACAGGAGATTTTGTGCCAGGACATTGTTTAAAAAAAAATCCTGTCTGGGTTTTGAAATGAGACTCGGACTACTGGGATCTATTACAGTACAGTGACTGTATCTCACCCTGGAGGAAAATGTTTTTATTGCTCAGAAATGGCTCTTTCATAGCTCAGTTCGCAGTTATGTTACATTGAGGTATCAGGTTTGACTTTTTCTTTTGAAATTACTTGGGAGAAATTAAATTTTATTTGATGAGACATGTTTGAGTTATTAGACTTTTGATCGCAAAAAAAAACGTTTTTTTATTTCTTCTCAGGAGAAACATCTGAGAATCAACGTTATTTTAGGGTCACTATATTAATATAAGTTTTATTA